ACAACAAATTTCTCTGTTTCATCTTCTATGCTGTGGAGCTTGGACGATATGTTATTCACAGATGAGTGCGTGTATCTTTTTCGAAAAATTTTGAACATGGGTTGTTACGAATAAAAATTATGCAAAAATCAGAATTTGTATGACATTTGAGTAAGATAATGGCAACATACCTTGAATGGAGATCCTTTAACGTGACTACCGTTCCAAAGTATGTGAAGTTCATAATTGCCACCAGTCAACGGCGTGTATGTGGCCTATAAAGCCAAATTTTATTCACAACTTAAGCATGAGGTCTAACAACGAAAAGGTTCACCTTGTAGACATTGTACCCCAGCTGTTGAACCCGAACGGGAACGTCAGCTTTTGTGCCGAACAGCGTCGCCGTCAATCGTCCTTCTAAACTAAGATTATTTTTAAAGATAAAAATATTTAGAATAGTGAAACAATTGCCTCTAGATGCGTCGCTTCCGTCCACAATGAATTCATTCGGCTCTTTTAACTGAGCTCGGTGTAGACCATCACCTCGTACCATCACTCGCGACACATCATCATCAATTGAAGACGATGATTTATCCCTTAACAAGTAAAAGCTTCGTTCATGTAAATTTGAAAACCTTAACTTACCTGACGTGTGCAATTGGGGCTGCTGTCTCACGAGTCTCACGAATCTCACGAGTTGTTGTCGTTGTCGTGGTGCGCTCTTCAGATGAGCGTGCTCGTACCGGGAATGCGCTCTCCACCGGTAATTCATTCCAATATAGGTAGATGGAGTATCTTCAACATAACCTCAGAGTGACGTCACAGATGTTAAAATCTCATTTTCCTACCGTCCGGGATGTTTGGGAGTAAATGCGACGCGGTACTTTCCGTAGCCGAGGTCGTCGACGGCCGGACCTTCACCGAGCAGCGCACTCTCGGAATTCCGAACTTCAGCACGAAGTTTGCCTGGAATTCGTACAGCTCACTCATGTGATGTTCGAGAAATTTCTGCAAAGCTGCTTGAAAAATTTACCGGGTCCGGCAGCGGTAGCGTCGACGTCAAAAACATTCTGCTGTCCGAGGCGCAGCAAGAATGAACCATCACGATCCATGTCTAGATCGTTCACCACCACTTTTGATGGATCGACGACACGTACCGTAAACGGACTTCCTATAATAAAATTTTTAGTCAGATCCATGACTTTTAGCTCTTTCTATTCACTATTCTTTGGATCATGGTTGACAAATAACATACCGGCAATTGGTTTGTTATTGAAGTCGATATGTACAATGTGGGCACCAACTTCCTCCGGCGAAAACACCACCTCAGATGTGCCATTTGGTCGCCGCATAACTTTATGCCGAACCTGATTTTT